GGGTGGGATGTTCTGAGAGAATAGCATTGAAACAAGTATACTATCAAGGGTGAAACAGATCACCAGCCCAGGTTGGATGCATGAGACAGGTGCTCAGGGCTGGTGCACTGGGAAGACCCAGAGGGATGGGATGGGGAGGTAGGCGGGAGGGGGATCGGGATGGGGAATACATGTAAATCCATAGCTGATTCATGTCAATGTATGGCAAAAACCACTACAATATTGTAAAGTAATTAGCCTCCAACTAATAAAAATAAATGAAAAAAATTAAAAAGAAAAAAAATAAAAGAAAAACTTTCTCATATCCCAAGAAACATTCCTGACAAAGCAAACAAGTTCACATATAGAAGTCAGTGTACCCAGGGTGATGAGAAGCGCTTGGGATGAGCAGATGTCAGCGTGTGCTGAGGAGGCGTGATGCTGGAAACCGAGACAGGCATCCTTCATGAAGGGCTTCCTCGTCAGCCATGCTGGGCAGACTGGACCTCATCCTGGAAGCAACTGGAGAGTTTCAGTCCAGGGGACAGATTTCACTTTAGTAGAGAGACCTCCTGGTGGCTGCAGTGTGGAGATGGGCTAAAAGGTCTGAGCCTGGAAGCAGGGGATGAGCTGGGAGACAGTGCCGACCGGGGGAGCCTGAACTAAGGTGGTGGCAGGAGGAGTGGAGAAGGGAAACAGTGAAGACAGTATCAAGGCTTTTAAAGATGGATTAGAGCTCTAATAAAAAAGAAACGGGGTCATAGCTCTACTGGAAAAGAATTCCACAAACTCATCTGGAAAATGAATTTTATCAAACTGTGGATAAGGAAAATGGCTACACCTCAGCTTTAGAAATGATGCATTTGAGGCTCCTGAGAGAGTCTAATTGAAAATTTCAGTACATACAAAGGATCGGAGTTCAGGAGACAAATCAGGGATGGAGACATTCTTGAGATGATTGATGACGAAGCTCTAGACACGGATAAAACATTTCAGATGGAGTGTGTAGACACAAGAAAGGACCGAGACGGAAGAGTACAGAACATTTAAGTGGTGCCCAGATGAAGAAAACTGGGTGTTCTTATAGAGCCTGAAAAGAAAAAGGCATATGGAAAGGAGAAAAACTAGGAGAGAAACCTAAAGAAGCCAAAACAGGAGCGAATTTCAAGAGGGATAAAATGGATAATGGTGCAAAATGCTGCAGAAATCCAACATGGAGATTAAAGAATGTGCATTGGATTTAGCATTTATAAGATTGCTGTGATCGAATTTAACTACATAAAAACTATGTTTAAAAAACTATAAGTTTGGTACATATACACCATGGAATATTACTCAGCCATTAAAAGGAATTCATTTGAATCAGTTCTAATGAGATGGATGAAACTGGAGCCCATTATATAGAGTGAAGTAAGCGAGAAAGATAAAGACCAATACAGTATACTAATGCATATATATGGAATTTAGAAAGATGGTAATGATAACCCTATATGCAAAACAGAAAAAGAGACACAGATATACAGAACAGAATTTTGGACTCTGTGGGAGAAGGCGAGGGTGGGATGTTTTGAGAAAACAGCATCGAAACATGTATATTATCTAGGGTGAAACAGATCACCAGCCCAGGTTGGATGCATGAGACAAGTGCTCGGGCCTGGTGCACTGGGAAGACCCAGAGGGATGGGGTGGGGAGGTAGGTGGGAGGGGGGATCGGGATGGGGAATACATGTAAATCCATGGCTGATTCCCAAGAGTAGGATTCAATAAGTGTTAGAATACAAATAATTAGAACTCCCTGGAAGAGGAATAAACTAAATTCTCTTACATAGGAAGTGTTCAGGCAAAAGTTGACTTCCTGTTACAAGAACTATCAAGAGAGGTTTCCTGCAGTGAACAGGCAGTTGACTAGATGTCCTTGAAGATCCTTTGTAACTCAGAAAGTCGATGAAACCTAAATAGCTCTTTCTACGGCAGAACTCAGGAAGAGAAAAACAAAAAGTTGAATAATTAGGACTCTCCCAAGAGATCAAAATAAAATATGTGAATGATAGTATATACCTCTAGGAAACCATCTATTAGATCTTAGGTCCAACATAGAAAAATAAAATTTTCAGGGGCCTATGAATAATGCAGAATTCATTTGAAATGATAAGTTTCAATCATCTTCAAGAACATATACATTATTTTTATTCTTTTTAGGAAAAGATATTCAAGTATTGGATATGCTGTTTGTTTGTGTTCATTTACAGTTTTTAATGTTCCACTTAACACTCTCACTGCCATCTGTTTCACAGTGAAAAATATCTATGCCATGATAGGCTTTGGTTTTTCATAAATTGACAGTCTTGCAGTTTTACAGACCTGGGTTCCCATCAAACCTGTGTTATCTCTTCTCTTAAGTATGCACTCGAGTTATAGTTAATCAATCCAAGGAAGACTTTTTTTTTTTTTAACAAAAAGGGGCTAATCAACTTGACTCTTACATGTGACAGTCAAGGTCTAAATTGACTTTATTTCTCTAAATGGATACAGAGGAAAGAGGCACATGCCGATCACATAGAGAATTCCTTGTAAGTGGGAACTCTGGAGGAGCACTGCAGAAACCATCTTTCCTGCTTTGGGGCCATCTGGCTCCCAGAGATAAAATAACCAGGGCAGGAGGCTGCCTAGTGATTACAATCCACCTTACCTTTCATTACAAGGATGCGAATGCTTGCATTTCCCTAAAGCTGATGGCAAGAGGTTCCTCCCTCAAATTTTAAGCCTTTAGGAAGGATACATAAACAACTTTTAAATCCGTTCATAATTTTTCTCATCACTTTTCCTCTCAGCTCTATCAAAAGTCCATGCAATTCTGAGGTGTACAGCACTTTTTGTAAACCTTTTAGCTCCCACAACCAGATAAAGAAAGAAAGCACTTCAAACTTGAGAAAATAAAGAGGTAACTCAATCTTAAGAAAATGCAAGATGGTAACTCAGACTCAAGAAAATAAAAAAGGTGGTTCAGACTCAGACTCAAGACAATCAAGCAGTTGTTGCTTCATCCTTACATGATAAGTGTGTATCTCTAGAAAATACAGACATTTTCTTCCTCCGATACAATGCCATCGTCATGTCTAACGAAATTACTGATAATTCCTACCAGTTCACAAGAGAAATTCCCCAACTGTTTCAAAATTTACTATTTATAATTGACTCCTTTAAACTAGGATTCCAGTGTCTACCCGTTGCCTTTGGTTGTCCTGTCTCTCAGGTTTCTTTGACCCTGAAAATGATTATCGTTTCTCTCTCCTTTATTTTTCTTCATGCCAGTGACCTGCTAAAATCAAGTCAGCTGTCCTGTGGAAAGTTCCACATTCTAAATGTCTTCTGGCTTCTTTCTAGTGTTATTAGAGAGTCATTTAAATATGGATTCTTCTGCTATTTTTGCAAGTCCCTTTCTATCTCTAGTTTTCAAGGGGTTTGACTTCTTAGAACCTTCTGATCTGATGTCCCCTTGGCAGACAGTGAGGAAATCCACGGCCAGGAGTCTCCAGAGAGTGTCTCCCAGAGTTGTCTGAGGGCCATCCTCACACCACACTGGCGTTACTCCACTGGTCTCCCAACGTATCTCACTTTTCTTTTCTTGTCCTCCCCTCACCATCACCCCACTCTTTCTCGTGACATCCAGCACCGTCTTTCAAATGGAAATCAGACTCCCTTCTGCTTAAAATTTCTTCAAGGGAAATTGCACTTCAAGGGGGTGTTACAAAAGCCAAAAGTCTTCACCTACATGACGCCAGCAGACTCAGTCTCTGCCAACCTCTCCACACCAGCACCTACTATACCCCAACCTTGCTTGATGCACCTTCCTTTGGCTCCTCAAGTGGGCAGAACTTTTTCAGTTTCACGCCTTGCGGTTGTTTGTGGATTCCACCTGGAACGCCTTTCCCTTGAACCTCTGCACGGCATGCTTCTCCCCAAACCACAGCAGGTCTCAGCACCAAGAAAACCCCCGGGGGCCCTCCCTGCACCCAAACCAAACAGGCCACCCCACCCCCACTGCCATTTCAGCATGTTTATTTGTTTATCACTCCATTTTTCCCACATCTGGAACTGTCCAATTAGCTATTCATTATTCATAATTATTTATCATCTCTCATGTATCCCTTTTATTATTTCCTTAAGACTTTCCCCACCCTGATCTCCCCCATTTAACAATTTGCTTGCTTAGTTGCCTGTTACTTTCCCTTTGAATGTAAGCACCATCTGAGCAGGGAGCGTCCATGTGTTGCATCTCCACCACACAGCAACTGCTCAATAAATCTTGCTGAATGAACACATACCAAAAAATAGCCAGATTGCTTATACATAGGATAGATTCCTAGGCTACAGCCTCTAGGTGATTTTTACATTATCTTAAAAGTTGCTACAAAGTACACACTATAAGAAGGCTAACTGAACCTCACATTTCATTTTTCTTAAAATCAGATTTCAATAATATTTTATCATTTTAGCCACACATTAATATTTTAGAAAAAAGCAATATTCTCTTTGTAACCACTTAGTTTTTTATTTATAACAAACAATCCAACAACAAAATGATTTATTTTCCCATTGTTCCAAAGCTAATAAGCTCTCATTATCCTATAAAAACAGAAAACTATCTGCACTATTGTACATTCACTTTAACTGATTTTTCACCTACAGGCCCCACTATAACACACTTCAGTATTTTCAGTACAATCATTATGCAACTTAATATATCAAGATAGAGGTCATAATTTAGTCCATATTATCCTTGGTAATTATTATCGAGCATTTTAATTTTCAATACTCAAAGGCAAGTGTTCTCTGTGAGTCCAACAAAGGAAAAATACTCACTAATAGAATAAATTAACATAATGGACTCTATGAATTAAGCTAATGACTTGCTTTTAAGTCTGCAACACAAAAACCAATGAAATATAACAGATTAGAAAATTACCACCTTCATCACTGTTGACTGACAAAATCACAAGTACAATTCTGTAATCACTTACTTCCATCAGTAACTTGAATCCTTCTCTTTTCTTGATTTCTTCTACTAGGTACCTAAAAAAAGTCACAATAATATTTATAAACTGCAGTCTAAACATTCCATGAACCTGACTGACATACAATGAAACTATGGTATAATTTCCAATGTAGAGACAAGGCTTGGAAATAAGTAAGGGTCCATACACAGATACAGGATTGGATTTAGATAGATACATCTATCTAAATGTAGATGGCTTACTGCAACCCACTGGGCCTGAGTAAAAAGGTACATCTTTTTCACGAGATGATGCCTATCTCACGTGTTAGCATCAGATTTTGTGTGAAAGCCACTTAGAGTAGACTGGATATATATCTCTGACCATGTAGGATTTCACATTCATTTTCTAGATGGGGATTCAGCATAGGTACTTAGATTCTCTTGCTGGCGTAGTGGGAAGGGTTTTCAGTGTAGTTTTGCTTCTGTGTTCCTTTTAGATCAAGGAAGTGTAACACCCTCTTTCCCAAGGCCAGGCCACAGGGAGCAACGACTGATCACTGACATCATGCTAAAAGTAAGTGGACTGTAGACACTGACAGAATGCCTGTGAAATTATCACAAATATCAGGGAAAAGAGAATTATCATGCCATAAGCAAAGGCTGCAGCTATACAAAATATGCAATATTATGGAGAAAAGACTAAAATGACATTGAAAATGTAGAGTAAATTAACACTGACTCTGCCCTCCTGGGCTTTGTTATTGTCTATATGAAAAGATAAATCTTTTGAACAACTAGTCTTGAAAACTAGGGATTTGATCATGAGCTTTGTTGACTCAGAATTTCAAATCGGGAGGTCAAATGTAAGGAAACAATGAGAGGTGATGACAAAAATGTACTTGCCAAGGAATTTTTTATATATAATAGCCAAAAAGGAAGGAAGGAAGGAAAGAAGGGATAGAAGGAGGACTGGTTTTGAAAATCCTGTCCATATTATATGGAATTATGATACCATGACATGGAACTATGATACCGTGACCTGGAACATGATCATGGAACTAAATTACATACATTCAATTACCATTTAAGGACAACAAAGAAATGCTTCCCTTTGGATCTCAGTTCCCTTACCTGTAATACTGGAATAAACTATGCTGATTTTCTAACCTCAAATGGATGTTGTAAAAAAATTAAATAGAATATAAACTGTGAAAATGGAGGATTATTATTATGTTTATTTACTTATCCCAGAATGTGGGTATCGAATACATCAGTTAATGGGATGCAGTTCTTTTTTCCAAAACACTTTTTTTTTTTAGTTTTCTTGAATAAGGTTAAATATTAGCATTTGACATAAAGATTATATAAAAAATAATCTTTAATTTATAAAAAATTTATATAAACTTTAATTTTAAAATATTAAAAAATCTTATAAAAATCCAATCAGTATTAAATGGATAAAAATGAGTCTTTTATATTGAGCAATAGTGCTATGATACCACACACACACAGACTCACAAAGTATCTGATGTTCTTTCCACAAACTCCTTTCCCTGAATAATTTTTCAGGAGATGTTATGTTGTAAAGTTGTAAAGATTTTACACCCTTAGCACACTGCCTAACTTTCAATAAAAGCAATTCTGATGGTCAATAAACATCAGAAAAATGCTCAAGATCACTGGTAATCAGAGAAGTGCAAACTGAAATAACAATACTAAACCATGTTGCCCACAGGACACTGGAGACAAATTTAAATAGCGACAGCATTCCATGCTAGTGAATGTGACAGGGAGCTGCTACAAACCTTTCAAAATTAATAATGCTCATATATTCTGATACCGCAAGCCACTAATGAGATGCTGGTCTACCAGGAAAATCTCATCAACACTAAGGTAGGTAGATAGGCGGCTTATTGCATGGATGGATGGATAGGTTGGTAGGTAGATGGATCGTTGGATGGATGGATGGATGGATGGATGGATGGATGGATAGGTAGGTAGGTAAGTAGATAGACTGCTGAATGGATGGATGAATTGATGGATGGGTAAGTAGGTAGATAGGTAGGAAGATGGGTGGATTGTTCGGTGGATGGGTGGATAGGTAGGTAAGTAGATAGATGGGTTGTTGGATAGATGGACAGGTAGGTAGGTAGACAGACAAACAGAGATAGAAATATAGATAGACAAATAGAACAGACAAATGATAGATGCATACACATATGTTACTGCATCTACATTACATGTGTATGTGTATATATTCCATACATAATAATTAGAAACAAAATTAATATCCAGAAATTGACAAAGGTAAAATAAAATGTACTATAGCAACACATGTTCTATGATGCAGCTATTAAAGAGGATGGATTATATCCACTTCAATTAAACCCCAGAGATGCTCATGATGCATTAGACATGAAAGCAGGGGACTGAGAGATATTGATAATGTGATTCCACTTTTTAAGAAGCTCTGAAAAAGAAAGCATAAGTGATCCCTCTCCACATGTATACAAGAGCATGAAATAAAGCATGGATGACCAATCATAAATCCTTGATGTACCCGAGAAAGGGAAAAACCGGATGCAATGGAGAGAAAGGGACTATTCACTCTCTGCAAAGTTTCATGGGTGTGGTCACTTACAATTTTTGAAAAGTAAATTAATAAAAGAAAAAATATAAATTACAAAGCAAAATAAAACACACATACAATCTTTATCTATACAAGGACCAGCTTTGTGAAACCTATTTTTCCCTTATCTTCTCAGGCACAAATGTAAAGGCAATCTGCAAACTCAATGCCAGGATTCCATCCTGAGGGGGCCTGCACTAACTCTGAACACCCCCCAGACTACAGAATCTGGGGAATGACTTTAGAAGATTCTAGATGTGTAACTGATTGACTCTGTGACTCTAGGCAAACTCCTCAGCCCCCCTGAGCCTGCCTCAGCTTCCTCAAGCGTGAAATGGAGAAGGAACTAGGTTGGCAAAACTCTTCCCCAGTAGATTATGACTACATGACATGCTGCCTAGAGTCTTGATTTAAAATATCTGTCAAACTGGTGAACACTGCTCCCGGGAAAAAGGTATGCTAGAGCACATCTGAGTCATTTCAGTTAAAACTCTGCTCCGCGCTAACCGTGAGGACCTGGGTTTTGAGTCAAGGTCAATGTCCCCATTCAGTCACTCTCAGAATCTATAAAACCAGGTGTAACACTTCAACTGAACTGAGGGTAGAGGAGATCTGCATAAAGAGTTCTAACAATAATAAAAGTTTACACCAGAGTTCCCAAGCTATTTTTCCATGATATATTGTGCTAATAGGTTTCCCACTTATCCATTCAAATAAATTTGAGCAATGTTAGGCTTATCAATTAGATTATTTTTGTCTGAAACTAGGTGTATACTTGGCTTAATTCACAAGAACTTTTATTGAACTGTTTGGATGGTTCAACAGTGTCACCAAGAACCAGGCTTTTTCACTTATTTCAGCCTGCCATGTTTGTAGTGTGATTGAATTCTCTCCTGCTCACAAGACGGCCGCCACAGCTCTGCCCATCACATCCATATATGACAGTGTCCCAGGAAGAGAAGAGGTTAGAAAGTATTTTCTCTTAGTTTCACTCTACTTAGGTAAGAATATTTTCCCCAGAAGCCTTCACAGAATTCTTCCTGTATCTTATTGACTGAATCTGAGTCATATATCCACCCCTAAAGTAGTGACTGGCAAAGAGGGTAGACTTAGACCAATGCTCCCAGTTGGAATACTGCTATCTATATAAAGTGGAGGCTCTGTTGGCAGGGAAAAACGAAGAATGGTATTTGGATGAATAGTCAACCATGTTTGCCTACTGGCTAAAGTCAAGTTAAAATTGTACCTATATTACAAGCCTTTCGGAGACTTCAATGTGCTAACAAACACTCTGAACCTCCAAGAGAGGACTGATATATTGGTTAGCATTTCTCAAACATACTTAACTGTGGAGACATTTTTTGGAACAACATCTATCAAGATCTTCTGAAAGCCTATGACCCCAGAGAGTGTAGGTTCAAAAATGCTAGTTTCTAAACTAGCGCCTCTTCTACAGGGCACCTATCCTCTTCTTAAATAAATGCTTAAATAAGTTGAGTTTTGGGGAGAAAATCCAAACAAATTCTGCCTATGTTCATAGGTGACTTATTCCTCACAACTTTTCAATATACAAAAACAGTCTAAAGATAAAATATGTGAAGAAAAACTATTCCTATCTGATGCAAGTCATAAAAAAAGAAAAGACGTACACTGAGTTTTTGGATAAAACTCGGGAACCACAAACCACTTCGACCAAAAGGCATCCAGGTATTGTTCAGAAAGCATCAATAACTTCATAAAATTCACTGTCCTTTCCACTAAGCTTAGCAAATAGAGAGAAATATTATACATTAGTAAGAGTTTTCACCAATCCTACTGGGTAAAAAATCTCATTCTATTAAGATTCTGGCTTAGTTTTGAAGTGTACAAAAATGAAACCTTGCTCTGAAACATTTCCTGTCCTTCATTCCATGTGTCCATCTAATACTTGTGTATTTCACTCGCCCTTTTTGAAGGGCATGCATTCCTCTCTGGAAATAGCTTTTCCAGTCCCTTTCTCAATTCACCAGCCTCCTGGAGTCTCCCTGGAGCGCTCTGGACCAAGTGCTTCTTCTGGTCTCATCTCCTCATGGGAAATTTCTTCTTATGCAATGGAGCCTCCCTGAGTTTCTGAGATTTTTTTCCATCTGGTTTGTGCCTGCTCCGCATACATGAGAACATATTGCATGGCCTGTGTGATTCATCACAGACACCTGCATGGTCCATTCTACTGCACCGTGTTGTTTTTAAAAATATACAAAGAAAAAATGCAAACACTGGCCCTGCTATAGTCTCCAACACTCTCTCCCTCTTCTCACCTAGAGAAATGTACTAGCACAAAGGTGCCATTGTATAACTGCTTACCTTTTCCATACTGGTACCAATAAATCCCTCAGTATTCATGCAAGTCAATGAAATGAATTCCATCTGAGAGATTACAGAGATTGTGTGTCAAGGGAACAGATAAATGATACACGGGAGACCTAGCAAGGCAGCAGAATGGGAGTTCCTGAGCTGTTTGTTGTTGTTGAAAAGACTTACGCACATGACTCTTCTGGGTTTGCTTTAAAAATTGCCCCTCAGCGAATATCCATTTAACTAGAGTGTCGTAACAACGGCCTACAAGGTGCCCTCAGCAACCAGAAGCCCTGAGTGTTGTAACACATTTTCAACTTTCCTAAGCAGATATCAGAGATCACAACTGCCTGCCTTCTGCCAGAAATGGTGATTTTAAACTTCAGGCTTCTGAGTTTCAATTATGCTTAATAATCACATGCTGCTTTAGGGTCACAATGTCACTGGTTTTCAAACAACTGAAGAAAAAGGCAAGTTTTTAGTCATTAGTATTTCTTGAAAGCAATGTTCTTTCACCCAGTGAGATGACAAGGGTCAAATGGAAATCAGGAAATGCCTCAGAGATCTTCTAGGAACTAATTAGTTCCTTCTTTCTGGATTTGACAGCTCATAAAACAGGAGTTGTTGTCCTCTTGAGAAGGTCTGTTCTTTCTTCCCGGAGGTAAGAGGGAGCATCTGACCAGAGTGATGCTGTTTACTGGTCCATCAAAACCCGGTCCTTACATCTTAAGGTCAACATACAAATTTTTAAAATATTTATTTATTTTTATTTATTTATTTTGGCTATGCCAGATCTTAGTTGCAGCACACAGGATCTTTCACCTTTATGGTGGCATGTGAGATCTTTTGTCATGGTGCACAAACTCTTGGCTGTGGCATGTGGGATCTAGTTCTCAGACCAGGGGTTGAATCTGGGTCCCCTGAATTGGGGGGCTCCCAAGGTGGTGCTAGTGGTAAAGAACCCGCCTGCCAATGCAGGAGATGCAGGAGATGAAGGTTTGATCCCTGGATCGGGAAGGTCCCAAGGAGTAGGAAACGGCAACCCACTCCAGTATTCTTGCCTGGGTAATCTCATGGACAGAGGGACTGCGCGGCCTACAGTCCATGGGGTCACAAAGAGTCGGAGACAACTTAGTGATGGGAAAACAACAACCACCACTTCATTAGGAGCTCGGGGTTCTGGCCAGTGGGCCACCAGGGAAGCCCCCAATATACACATTTTCAAACTAAGCTGCATTCCGGTTCAGGAACATGCAAGTATTGCGTTCATGGAGTCAGCGCAGTCTTCACTGCAGTGGGCCAGGGGAAAAGACTTGCACAGTCTTCCCCGTGTCTGGGAGACCTGACTGAGGCAGGCCTGTGGGAACGGATAGCTCACCTACCTCGGCTACTGATGACAGACGTGCACCCCTAACAGCAACACAACTGTCATCTGCAGCTTTCCTTTGCTAAAGTTATCCAGTGAAGAAAGTCATACTTCTTGGAAACAAATGATGCTGCTGTGACCTAGAAGTTAGCCAAATACAGTCTTCTGACCATGGGTGAGAATTTTTAGCAGGTAAACTCTAAAACAAGTGGCTGAAGGTCAGTAGGCATGATGAGAAGTGGTATTTTAACTCCTACCAGCCAGCGGTTGGAATGGACGATATTGGCTCATATAATCAATGGTGGTCTAGAGCTGGTTTGTACTGGTTAGTGAGATCCAACTGTTAAATATCCAAGCATTTACAAGCCATGGCTGTTGGCAGCTTGAAATTTTCCACAGTGTGAGTATTTATACCATGGAAATTGGCAGACATTACAAATTGTGGCTTTTCTTCCTCCTGAGATTCAGTTTACTAGTACACAACTGCACATGGGCACCAGCAAATAGAATAAACTTCAGAATTCAGAAAATGTTTCCTCTTTTTCTGAAGAGCAGACCACACTTCATTTGGAAAAAATAAAATCATGAAAATAAAGCACTAATGTTGCTAACTTAAAATAACTGTTAATCCCAGAGAAACTTTCTCCAAGTTGATAATTTCACATTTGTTTTAAGTGACATGCCTAAGAGGACTTTGCCTTGGCACTGGGGATGGGGGACATGGATAGCTTTTGCCCACGCCAGGAAAGGACTGTTGGATAACAAGAACGTGGGAAGTTAAGGCAAGAGAACCATTGTGACTAACAGCATGACAGAAAAGGGATCATTTTTCAAATATTTAAATGTAGGTCACAGAGCCTGCGGTGATGCTCACTGAAATGTTAATTCAATTCAATTCAACATGACAAACATTTACAAACAATAAGTGTTGTTGAATTGAATTGAAATGTTAACATTTATTCTCCTGTGATATTTCTCTGCAAAAATTAGGAGGTATCCTTAGACTGTAAATTAAATTCCACCCTGAGATGAATGTTAACTTTGTAATAAATACGATCATCAAATATTTATATCTAGCCTTGTTTCAAGACACCTGCCATTGAATTACTTAGCGGCTTAGATAAAATAATGCAGGGTCTACCATACTTACATAGTATGAGAAAAACACAAACAGGGCAATAGAACTCTCTGAACCTTTTAGTTCAGTGGGCAGCTATGAATATTTATGGTTGACAGTTTCATGCTTTCACCACTGGGTAGTCATCTCCCAACTTCTGAAGATGACATCTGTCAGAAAGAATTAAAGCCTTCTCAGGATTGTTGAGAAAGGAGCACTTTCTCCTTTTGACCTTGAAGTTGAACCTGGGAGGCTACAGATCTGACCCTCTTGGGAACTACCTTCCTACAAGGGAGTAAACCCAACATGAAGGAGAGCAGATCTGACCGACGAACAGAAATTAAGGCCTGGTGAACTTGCTTAAGCACTTAGAACAAGCCATTCCATGGTCATCACGACACTGACTTATAAGTTACATGAGCAAATAAATTAATTTTGTTTATAATACTTTGATGGTTTCTGTTGCTCACCACCAAAAGAGTCCTAATTTATACAATATTTATAGATTTTTCTAACTACTTTTTAAACCTAAATCCCCAGAAATGCTGACTTCTAATAGGCTTCTGAAAGTGCCAAGCCATCTCTTTTCCTGTCTTTATTTCCAAGCCCTTCGGCATGTAACCTAGCAGGTCTTCCTACCTCCTGATACTGACCTTGGCCATCGGATCTTCCCGGGCCACTGGAATGCTAACGGGCATGATGCATGCTATCAGGAGTTTAAAGCAGGCTTGCCGTCTTGGGCTTCTGTCGCCACCATCACAAGAACAGGCTCTGGCTCAAGGAAGTTACAAGACACACCAGCAGTAGACCCAGGCCTTCCCCCACCCCCACAGCCACCAGAGAACAAGATGAAGCCACTCCAGCCAACTTGCAGACCTCTTAGAATAAACCGCTGTCAGTTTAAGATCCTGGGTTTTCACTGTTTCCAAGGCAGGAATACAGACGCAGACATAGAGAATGGACATGTGGACAGAGTGGGGAAGGAGGTGGGTGGGATGAATTTGGACAGTGGCGCTGATGTATACACACTACCATATGTAAAACAGCTAGCTAGTGGGAAGCTGGTGTCTAGCGTGGGGAGCTCAGCTTGGTGCTGTGATGATCTAGAAGGGTGGGATGGGGAGAGGGGAGGGTGGGCCATGACGGCGGGGATATATGTATGCCTATGGCTAATTCACCTCACTGTGCAGAAGAAAGTAACATAACACTGTAAAGCAATTATATTCCAGTTAAAACGAGAAAGATCCTGGGTTTTCAGACAGTCCTCACTGGTACTCAGAGCATCCTCGTCACAGAGCAGCATGCAGAGCACCTACACCACTCCCCCTAAAGAAGGAGGAGGCTGATTAAATCTCAGGGAGACCCTGCAGGCTTTTGCGGGTGAAATATGAACCAGGAGTAAAGAAGGAGAGGTTTTCCAAACCAGAGATCACAAACGCTGATGCTTCTAGTGGCCAAGCAGGTAAGAAAATAATTTTTTAAAAATAATTAAAACACAGCATGTGGCATTTGCCAGGCACTGTCCTGGGTGTTTCACAAATATCAGTTCACTGAATCCTAACAGTTATCTGAGTTCAAAGTTGCTATCTTCAGGACCCTGGGATGGAACAGGACAGAAAGTTTGAGCAGCTTGCCCGGTCATGAAGCTTGTCAATGGTGGCCCCCGCTTCCCCTGGCTCTTGGCTCTCTGTACACAGTAAAACAGGCTGGAGGAAACCCAGGGGGTGTGCAGGGCACCACTGCGTTCACTGCTTCGTCACCATCTTCTGAAAGAAGCCAGGAATCTAGACTGTTTACCATTTCCCTATTTAAAACTGCCTGGAATGTTTGAATGTTCAATTTTTAAAACACAACCCAGGTTAACCCTATAGAGCTCAGGCTCGGCAAAACACAATTTGAGCCACATGTGGCCTTGGCCTGCCCTCCACACCCACTGGTCTCAGCAGCAGAGTCCTCTCAGGTGACAAGCGCCCAGCATGCGCATCTCAAGATCTTCCCTAGGTGTCACTGCAAGTGGTTTCAAAAGCTTTGTCCTCATGTTACAAAAAGACAAGCAACCAGGGTGCTGCCAAATTCACCTCTGCCTGTCTGTCCTTCTGTCAGCCCCACATTCTCACAGGCCACATTTCGAGTGCTTTAAGTTATTGGGATCTCTCCCGCACCAGGAGATTGGACCTGGGGCTCCCTCTGCCTGAAATCAACCGTCTCTCCTTTCCTCACTGGGTCTTAGCTGCATGCCCCTTCCTCCAGGAAACCTCTGCCAGCACCCCTCATGACCATGCTAGGGAACCTGAGTGCTTCTGGAGCATCATGTACCTCCCCTTACCAAAATGTAGGTGCACCTGCATTTAATCTGCTCTGCCACCTGGATGTATCTCTCCCCAGGCTAGGATGCTGCTGAGCAGAGGGGAGAACTGCTTTGTTCTCAACGTCTAAAATAGTGGGTGCTGAGAAAATGGTTATGAGATGAAAGAAGGGATCCATATATGAGAGAACATGTACAGATCTTACAGATGGTACTTTCAGTGAGTCTATTAGACACCCGTGAACACCCAGACACACACACAGCAAGTACCTAGATAGAGCAAGAGCGCGGTTAACTCTTTCTTCAAGGCCTAATGTGCCCAGGGCCTTCCAGGCCATCCAGAACTTGAATGCATCTGGTCTCCTGCTGCACTGGATGGACTTGTCACCCGTGTCATAGCTGACATCATAGAATTTATCCTGCTGGAAGAGGTAAGACGCGTTGGCGGAGTAGCACCTCTTAAGAAGATCCTTTTGGGAAAAAAAATAAAAGAAAGACAGATTGTAATATTGCCCATTTAAAAAATATATTTGATTTCAAAAAACACACCCCACCAACGAAACCTTGTATAATATCCTACTGCTTTGTGCCAAAGGCATTTGGTCTGGCTCTGTGACTGACCTGTGTCTGGAACACTAGGCGTGTATTAACTTTGAGACACATACGACTCCTTGTATTTTCAAAAAAACCCCCAAATCCTCAGAGTTGAGAATGCTAAGTCCATCTTCACACTTATATTGGTGAGTATTAAGAAACTTTAACCGGCCATGTCATCATCTGTATGACATCAACAACATGGGCCAATTTCTCCAGATGAAAAAAAAAAATCTACCTGTAACTCACTCAAGGTTCCACAATAGAAAAATACCCAATGTTCTATATATACTTTATACACTTTCACAGGTGAAAAAAACTAGGCCTTGGGGACTTCACTGGTGGTCTAGTGGCTAGGATTCCAGACTCCCAATGCAGGGGCCTGGGTCTGATCCCTAGTCAGGGAACTAGATCCCACATACTGCAACTAAGAATTCCCATGCCACAAGGAAGATCAAGGATCCCATGTGCCACAACTAAGACCCAGTGCAGCCAAAGAAATATAAATTTAAAAAAAAAGAAAAAAAAAAACCCTAGGATTTAAAATCCCCCTTTTCAATTCATATCCATAATGAAAAGGTCAGAATCGACAGTTAACCCAGAGATTGGAGGGAAAAAAAAAAAAAACAAACCAAATCTGAGGAGAGAGCAATGGAAGAGTGAAAAAAGAACTGACTAAATAGCACCTACATTTCCATAGGGTTTCGGGTTTGGTCTCACACTGGTTTTATCTGTAATCAAATTCAATTTACATTTACTGACTAGCTACTTCCCTCTACAGTTTACCCTGGGTGACAATTTACCCTGTTTATTTCCATTCTACAGTCCTTACTTTGACCTCAAATTATTAGCGTTTAAGACCTGTTTCCTTCAAAGTCATGTGGGATCTAAACCCCCAGCATTCCTAACCCACCCCTCAGCGCCCACAACGCTCTCAGCATCTTCACCCCCAGGGAACACCTATTAGAACCTCCGCTTCCCCAGCATACCAAACTCTTCAATGTCCCTCAACCACAAGATCATGCCCTGTCTATATCTATATTCAGGCTGTTTGCTTGACCTTGTCTCTGCTTTAATATATTTGGCACATTCGGAAGAATATACCCAGCATATTTATATGCTGTGACGTTTACTAACATCGAATGTGGCTTCCCTCTCTACCTAGGCCAGCCTTTCCTTTGGGTTCCATCGCAGGTTCTGCCTCCCTCCAGCTTTTTTTATCCTCCTCTCCGGCTAGACCCCTTTCCTCCTCTCACCCTTGACTGCGTTTGTTGGCTTTGCTTCTGAGTCCCCCTACTCGGCGAGCAGCCCTCTGTATTCCCTCCTCGAGAACCAAGCGGCTTCTAGATGGCAGGAATCATTTCCTGTCCACGTCCACACCCACAGAGCTCAACACGGTATTGAGCACAAAGACCCTCACTAAGCTGTCCCTCTCCCCCGTCATCCTGACATATCATATGAACAGAATAAACACGGGCACAGGAACATCTTCCAGACTTTAACAGTGCAGAACCACCAGTGCTGACAGGAAGCCCTGGAGAAACTCCCCAGAGTCACAGAGGTCCCAGAAAAAAATGATCCCTCCTAAAGAGGGAATATGTATTTTTATTTTTCCTTAGAGACTACGTATTCATTCATTCAACGAACATTTAGAAATTTACTTATGATGAGTCGGGCACTGTACTTTATAGTGTGCATACCAAACACAAAACATATTTTCTAATAGTAAGGATAATTCAATGACTATTTTCAATATTTACTTTTGAGAATAAGCTTTCTTTTGTACACACTGTTATATTTAAAATAAAATGCTTTTCCATGAGAGAATGTATTTATTCCATGTACCCATCTGACTGATCAACAAGTATATAAACAATAAAAAGAAAATTTCAAGATACCATATTCCAAATGAAAGCACACATTTGCTCTTTCAATAACAATATTGGCCTGTGTGGACACTAATTTGGGTATTTGCACCGGAAAGTATGATTCAATACTATGCAAAAAATGTATACCGACTATAGTCAAGAACTCCCAAGTCCCACTCAGCCACTATCCAAAAGTAAACTGATTTTAAGATAACAAAGGAATACTCATAAGCCTTCAGTCTGGCTCAAACGGGTAATATTGGTAGACACAGGAGAAGAGGAGATTGCTCCAATGTGATCATTAAGGTAGAAAAAGCGCTTATTCTTTAATCTTTAGCTTAATTCTATCATCAATCTCTCAACTCTGATCATAGCTGCCACCACCACATCTCCTTACTCTCAGAGGTCAGGAAATTTGGGTATTGTTTCCATAGCAACTACAGCCTGACCATATATTATGACATTAAAAGGCCACTGCAGCTTAAGGACAAAGCACACGTGCGCGCGCGCGCGCGCGCACACACACACACACACACACACACACACACACACTCTTGTACTTGCATCATGAGTACAAATTTACTTTCATCGACCATGAAAGATGCAAAAAAATCCCCAAAGCAGATGAACACTGGACACATCCTGGGCAAGGTTCAGTGCCTGCTGCTAGTGATTGAAAGGGAGAGGAACCCATCCATCCTGGGAAGACGAATGGCATCACAGTAGGCAAATGGAGGAGCGGAGAGCCAAGAAAGTCTGTCGCAAGATGAGTGATTACCCTGTAGTCATGACACTGCTGATCTCGCTGCACTGAAAAATCCTCCTGCCTTGGGAAGGTTTCATGAACAACTAGAGGCTTGGGACTTCCTTTATTGAAAATAAATGAAAACTCTCCCCCCAAAGTCCCTGCTTTGCATTTTAGTTTCTGTCCTTGTACTAAAATGGATGAGATGTCTCTAATTTTAAGACAGACATCAACTAAGAGGATGTTCAGAGCTCCAGAGAAAAACAGCACTTTAGAATAAGTGTGGTAAAAGTTAACGTTGTTGAAAATAATTAGCCACTGTTGTGCTATTAAAGAGAAGGGCTGTGTCTGTCTTGCTCATCTTTATATTCTTAGCCCTGGCAAGACAATAAATACTAGCTATCCAAATTTCAAAGACAAATATTCAATGAGAATGCCGATTGCTCCATATTGTGATAGCGGCTCAAACAGTTCTCAGGAATTAGGAGACACTGGGCTAGGACACATACAGTGACAAGAGAAATAAATGAAATCAGCAGCTTAAGCAAAAAGGAGAATTTTTATAGGCATGTATATTTTAAAATCCAGTCATGTCATATAGCAGGCACAGTTGGATCCGGGACTGAACTGGGAATCTATCTTTTCTCTCTTATTCTATTTTTTCATGTGTTGGCCTCACCCCTAAAGCAGAATGTGTGGGAGAAAGCCTTGGAATGGGGGCTCCCAGTAGGACCTGTGAGCCCAGAGGAAGGCTCTGTGTGGAAAGCCAGGAGACCAGAGGGGAGGCGGCTTTGGCTGGTGATGCTACCCGTGCAGAGAGAGACCAGTGACCTTCCAGCCTCAAGCTCTGTCTGAAGCCAGTGGGCCAGCGAGCGTGGGACACATAGCTCCCAGCAGTCAGGCACCTTTCGGGGCAAAGCAGAGGAAAACTGGAGAACGAATTACACAGTCAAGGGAGATGACAAATGACAAGCACACTACAGGAGTCCAGAAACCACTACTCTCCTTTCCACCGAGCACGTAGCAGGCATGAGTGGAGCTAACATTTGCAGAGTCCTCACCGTGTGCCAGGTACTGTGTGTGGGTGAACTCGTAAATCTCACAACAGCCTGAAGAGGTTGTTCTATAATGTTTCCAATGCCACTGCAGGTGTGTGAAAGCCGCAACCTGGTAAGGTTCAGCTAATGACGTAAGATCATGTAGCTACTGAGTGGTACAGCTGGCTTTCAAATTGAGGCTGCTAGAATTCAGCATGCGAACTCTCTTAACCCGTGACACTCTCCTCTCTCTACACTGGAGCTTAAATACATGTGGAGGAGAAAGAAAAGAAAGTGAAGTCGTTCAGTCGTGTCCGACTCTTTGCGAACCCACGGACTGCAGCCCACCAGGCTCCTCCATCCATGGGATTTTCCAGGCAAGAGTACTGGAGTGGAGTGCCATTGCCTTCTCCAGATCTTCCCCACCCGGGGATCGAAGCTGGGTCTCCCAGATTGTAGGCAGATGCTTTACCATCTGAGCCAGCAGGGAAGTTATGTGGAGGAGAGGGCCCCATAAACATTCATGAGGAGTTTTTTGTTTGTTTTTTTTTAATTGGAATAGAGTTGCTTTAGGTGTTGTGTGAGTTTCTGCTGCCCAGCACGGTGAGCCAGCTATAGGTATACATGTCGTCTTCAGATGTCCTTTCCATTTTGTTTACCACAGAGTACCAAGCAGAGGGAAAGGGAAGGTGGTGGGGTGAACCGGGAGACAGGGACAGACGTACGCACACCACTGATACCGTGTATAAAACAGAGAGCTAATGAGAGCCCACTGTGCAGCTCAGGGAACTCATGAGGAATTCCTGAACACGGCAGCGGAGAACGTACTGCACTAGAGGTCAGAGCCATTCACATCCTGTGTCAGACTCTTGCTTTGTTCCTGTAAATGTGACTTCCGGTCTTACTAAGTATAATGTCTTCTCTCTAAAGCACTTTGAGATTCTTCTAAATAAGTGTGACTGGCCATACTTAATCTATCACATGGTGATACTTAATCACTGAAAATACGTCCTGAGTCATGAGTCTACATCCTGAGTGATATTTTCATTGTCAACGTTAGCTGAGCTGTCTTTGATTTCCACAGGCCAGACAAGATTCTGCGAGCTCCTTTCCAGGAGCAGACTACCCAGACCTACTTGAAGTCTCCACTTCTAGCAGTCATGTTTTTCAGCTTAACCAAATCTCCTAAAACTTCTTCCCGATGGCTTCTCACATAGTCTGTCCCA